ACGAACAATCATTCTGATGAAGCGCGGAAAAATTCATTAATTAAGTTTCTTTTTTTTTTCCCCTCCGAAGTACATGTCCTCGGTCGGGAGCTATTGTTTACATGTTGCCGTAACGACTGGTGACTCCTCCAGATGATCTCATTCAAACATCGCGCAGTCGGGCGTGAACGATGAATCACGATCTGTATTGAGAAGGCTCATGCATCGCTACCGTAATAGTAGTAAGGAGGAGTAAGTATTAATAGATTCGGAGTTTATAGAGGGTACTCACTGGCGTCCATAGCGGTTGCTGAGCGCGTGATGAAGGCCAAGTCGGCCAGTGCTTTGTAACGTGCATTCCCCACTTTCGAGGTTGTCATTCTTAGCAGGCTACTAATGTGAGTTCGTTCTGAGCATGCGCTGTGAGCATCGTCCTCCAATATGGCGTCCAGTGAATTCCCTCTATACATAATACAATAGACCGCCTTGCATACATCAGTCACCGCGATATCCGTGGTTTGAATGCCGCGTGCCAAGTTTTTCCTTGAAGTTGTTGCCTCGTGGCATTCGAAGCACCAATATTGTGGTGGCCATTGCGTTCGAATATGTTTGCAGATTGTCCTTTTTATGATGTATAAGCTGTGTGACCCCGGTTTTATTGAGTTGGAAATGCTTGCATCATAGTTCAGACCAAAATAAGGTTTATTTAAAAAAACTCAATCGAAGTGCATATCGTTGCTTGCTAATTGCAGTCCATTTTCAATATATATTTCTCAAAATATATGACTGCACGCAGTAAACACTAAAAAAAAAAATGTTAACTGCAAAAAAAAAAAAAAAAAAAAGAAACGTGCGCGAACACCGATAAAAAATTACAGGGCAAAGCGCTTCCACGTTCCTCTTAAACTTAGTTCCCAACCCTAAAAGGGTGTCCATATTACAGTTAAAAACGCGTATCGAAGACCTGAATCTTGAAGCAAACCAATAATCGTGTCTAAAATAATTTAAAATGAAATGCCGACTGAGGAATGTTTTCCCATTCCGTCTTCAGTTCTTGGAAAAAACCGTAAACAACGTAGAGAGACATGGATTGCATTGCAACTGTCGTCTCTCATTTTTTCTTCAAGTCGCGTTTCACCTGGCCTCTTTTTTCCTCCTAGTTCCTCGATTTGTCTGTGCTAAAATTCAGAGCCTTCAAGTGTATATAGTATATATCTCATCTGCGGTTCAGAGATCCTTGTTATGATCTAACTTTTTTTTCCTTTTTTCTTCTTTTTACAGTCTGCCTTTTTCTTGTGTCACCTGCTAATTATAGCTTGGTCGAACAAGCTCTTTTGTACAAAGACGGGGACTTTCCCAAACGCTAAACACAGCAAAGAGGAAAAATAGAGTGGGGTAGAATAATGCTGCATTCCCACTGGCGTTCGAATCGCAACCGCGAAGCGGATCTTGTCGTTTTTATCATCAACAGCGCGAGAATTTGTATTGCATCTTTAAGCAACCGCGTTCACAACCGCTTTGCAGATACTGTTCAGTTCCCAGCGTAAATTCGGCGTAAAGCGGGGAACACATGAGCGGCAAAAACAGGCGCAGCGCTGATTCCCATGGCAACATCCTAGGACGCTGTGACGTGGACCTATGTCAAGCCGCCAACTCACCGCGTGCGCGCAAGTTGCCATGGAAACTGCCGCCCGGCGCCCGTTTTTGTGGCTCATGTATTCCCTAATTAAAGCGTAAAACACATGTGAGCAAAAACCGCGTCGCGCCGCGCAGCTGAGTGGCATAGCCATCACAACCGTCGCTAACGCTGCTACGTGGGGGCGTCGCATCCGGCGACACTATGTCGTCAGCGGCGGTTGCTATGGTTATGCCGCTCGGCGGCGCAACGCGAGGCGATATTTGCCCGAATGTGAAAGCCTGAAACACATGTGAGAAAAAATCGCGTCGCATCGCGCCGCCAAGAAGCGTAACCATAGCAACCGTCGCTGACGCCCTCACGATATGGCACAGCAATGGGCCACGTCATAGCGTCGACACTATGGTGCGGTAGAAAGGGACGTGTAGCAATTGTTGCTCTACCAGCGGCCGAGGGGAATCGGACAAAATGGAGCCAGTTAAAAGGTCCCGGACAAAATGATCCCGGACAAAATATTCCCAGATACATTTTTTTTTCAGCATAGTTTGCTTTGTATTCAATTTAAGTCACACTTCCTGCCAGTAACTTAGCCAAGGAGAAGAAAAATTATAATATAGAAAGCATAAACAAATATATATATGAAATTACTAATCGATAATATTTGAAAATTCAGCATAAGTACAAAAAACAAAACAAAAATTCATAACACGCCATCACAAATATGTACTATGCGATTGATAATGTTTTTGATTCATCGGATGCGTTGTTTTGCTACTCCGTTGCGCTAATTCGGGAAAAAAAAGTATATATATATATATATATATATATTTCACGAAATTTCACTATTTTTGTCCCACAGCTTTACGTTTCACTAAAGTGAGAGCGCAGCCGACGCTGCGAGCTGATAGAGGATTGCCGAAAACAAAATGTGCTAACGCTTGTCGACCTTTTTCGTATATGTTATCACCGGCTAGTCCAATCAAGCTCAGAGTGCATGTCGCGATCTTGTGCTTTTAGTTTACTTCTAGACTACAGCTTTTCATTGGACTCTAACCTGTGCAAATAAGAGTCATAGAGCCGAGTAAGCGATGATAGAAATTCACTGGACTTCAGGGCTTTGGTTGCTTCCTAACGTATATAACGAAAAGCTTGAACGCCTGACAAATATACATTTTATGTGTATTGACTAAAGCTTCAGAGTAGCAGTTATCTAAAAGTATCAGAGCGCCCAAAAGGGTCAAAATATTACTTGGGACCATTTCGTCCGGGACCATTTTGTTGGGGACCATTTTGCCCTACACCTGCGAGCGACCAAGAGGAGCCCCACTGTGTCAGTGTCACCATGGTACCATTTGTAAGGCAGCAACGCCACAATGGCAAAGACTAGATAATACTTTGGAAATTTGCTTCTAGAATAATCGGAGCAGGCAAAATAGATACCGAAAAGGTATGGGTGGTCGTGTTCCCGTTTATGGCTGAACCCCCCCCCCCCCCTCCCCCTGCAAAGTGGGTTAAAACAATCAATGTGATCATTTTGTTAGCATTTCTTTTTTCTAGCCCTGGAGTGCAAGGTGGCGCTGCTTCCAGGATACCGATTATGCTGCGCTTTATGGACATGAGTTGCGGGACCGTTCTCGCCCGCGTGATTCACACAGATCGCCACGCAGCCCATCCTATATCAACGCGAACATCGGCTGCCACGTGTGCCGCGTAGAGCTGCTAATCGAAGACAGTGAACGACAGCGACCAATTACACTTTTTTTTCCCCTTCGAGAATCTGTCGTTAATTCGGTCCCCACAAGATTCTTACTTTGCTTAATGACGGCACGTGGTCATTTTCAACTCTTCTTATCTCGTAGAAAGGTCTCGCATGTCCCTTTCTCAAGCACGGACACCCGAGTACGCCGGCCCGTTCGTGTCCCTGCTCATTTCTTTTTCCCCGCTCTTTGGTGACGCAACGTGTTCGCTCTGCACGCCCGAAGGTGCTTCTAATTCTGGCGGGGAGAGAAACGTTGCCGGTCTGCGCCGGCCTTTCCCTCTCTTTCTCTCCCTCTCGAGCGTGTGCTTTTTGCGGAGTTCCCGGAACGGAAATCCCCTTGTTTAGAAGAGATGGAGTGTCGTGGCGTCGGACAGAAAGGTCGTTAGCCTGTCTCGTACGCTTTGCTTACGAGGCTTATGAGGGACGGCGGGGAACGCTACACGAGCCATCCAGGCCCAACCAGTGCCGTGCGAGTGTCACTTGAGGGCGTCGGCGAAATACTATTTACTAGTCAAGGCCTGCGGATGACGTCGTCATCGGTGAATCCGAGACACGCCCCTAGCGGCCAACCCACAGAGGTTGCAGTCGAGGGACGCCGAGGTGACGTCAGAACGCCGAGCTCTGGTTGGAGGGATTAGTGGGTAGATGCCAAGCTATAGCTGCCTTTGTCTCCATTGCATTCGTCAAAAGCGTTCGACGATTGCAGTGCAGACTGCAATCGTCGAATTTTGTGTGTGTGTGTGTGTGTGTGTGTGTTTGTGTGTGTGTGTGCGCGCGCGCGCGCGTGTGTTTGTGTGTGTGTGTGTGTGTGTGTGTGTGTGTGTGTGTGTGTGTGTGTGTGTGTGTGTGTGTGTGTGTGATTTCGAGCACGACCCGTACTAACTGCCCTCGAGGTTGATTTTTTCTTTGGGAATCACGACACTTCCCTTCTGTTCTTGATACCGGGATGACGTTTGTCAAGTATTTGGGCCACAGGCGCAAGTTTAATGGACCGGAAGACAAGAGGTCACCTGAGGAGGGGGGCGGGGGATTCGGTGCCACACATTTATAGGTGTGAAGTCGTTTTATTAGTCCCGGTTAACTCCGATTTCTGACCCCACATTAAAAATAAACATGTAAAAACACCGATTACAAAAAAAGAAAAATGAATCATGAAAAATCCTTTTTGAATTTGAAAAAGTAAATAAAATAAACCCCGACAACAAGGAACCCTAATTACAATTGCGGGTTTATATCACATGAGTACACTGCGTACTCTAATATCTGCCTCTGTCTTTGTAACTGAGTCAGAAGGCGCGACAGTGACGTTTAGTTTCACTTAGAATGCAACTGCCAAGGAGCTTTTATTCAAAGAAGCTACGTATTTACAGTGATGGTCAAAGGATTCCTGGCTCCCGTGGGTTGTAGGCAAAACGCGAGGTTTCGAAGGGTGTGGGCCGGTTTGCTAGAAACAGAGCAAAGACTGGTTGAAAAAAAAGTGCCGCTAGATTTGGCGCACGATGGGCACACAAGGTCGAGTCTCAAGAACTCGCGCGTCCCAGGCTTGGAAGGCTTCCTTTCTTTCTGCCTTAGCAAAAACGTGGTTTCTAGCAAGGAGGACCTGGTGTATGTTGAGATCAGAGTTCTTCACCGAATGGAAAGGGTGAAGTGTACGCAGAAGAGGTGATCACCGTCGCTCTTGGCCTTGACGGTCACCTGGTAGTCACCGGAGGTCAGCCAGTCTGGCAGCGTTAGTGCAGGCACCACAAACTCCTTATCGTGTACCTCGTAATTTCCCTGTTGGTCGTAGAAAAAAAGTAAAACAAAATATTATTTAAGTTTAATGCAATTGTGAGTTTTTTTTTTTTTTTCATTGTGACATTTCTTTTAGTTTACCGTACTGTAGTTGCCGTGAAGGCCCCTCTAGCATTTCTCACCTTTTTAATTAAAAATAGGTCATTATAAACGGACGCGTTCATGTAAAAAGGGAACACAAAGGCAATTTAAAACAAAGAGAAAACAAAATAAGTAACTCCAAAATGAAGACTTATAAAGATCGGTGTAACATAAGTTAAATAACATATAGATCTTTACTTATATCAGAAATAATGGTAGAAAAGCCAGGTAACATAGCTTGACAGAGTTTATGTCACGTATAAAGACATCCGTTGACAGTTTTAGAAACAAATTTAATAGCCACAATTGCTGGCTAATAATCTTCTCATCTCAATCATCAACTCTGGGCAACTGACAACGCTTTGGTGTCGTTTTCTTAACATCGCTACGGAAAGCGAGACTTCTAGCCAATGCATTGTGTCCCTTTAGTCCGTTGCACGTAAAGACAAGCAGGAGAAGCTCTTCCAACGAAACTTTTCACTCTTTCCTCTTTAGCGGCGTGAACGCCGGAGATTAGGCGACCGGAGAGGAGAAAACCATAAGTCATGGCGAGTGGAGAGCTTTGTTGGATGAGTTTGGCCAACTCTTCTTAGCCTTCAACCTACTAAAAGCTTAGCCCCCACCCCCAATCCATAATGCACAAAGTAGAGTAATGCCTAAAGGCTCGTTCACACTCTTGCGACCGAGTAAGACCGGGAGAGACCAGACCGGTTTTTAAGCATCTTGCGATCTCTTAGGACCAGCCGCCGCTGCAGCGCATCCGGTCCTAAGAAGTCGCAAAAGGCTTAAAAACCGGTCTGGTCTCTCTTGGTCGTACTCGGTCGCAAGAGTGTGAACGGGCCTTAAAGGCCCGTTCACAGACTTGCCATTCCTTAGAACAGAGAGCCTTAAGGCCCGTTCACACTCTTGCGACCGAGTAAAACCGAGAGAGACCAGATCGGTTTTTAAGCCTCTTGCGACTTCTTAGGACCAGCTCCGCTGCATCGCATCCGGTCCTAAGAAGTCGCAAGAGGCTTAAAAACCGTTCTGGTCTCTTTCGGTCTTACTCGTTCGCAAGAGTGTGAACGGCGCTTTAAAGGTCCGTTCACACTCTTGCAACCTAGTACGACTGAGAGAGACCAGACCGGTTTTTAAGCCCCTTCCGACTTCTTAGGACCGGATGCGGTGCAGCGGAGCTGGTCCTAAGACGTCGTAAGAGAATTAAAAACCTGTCTTGTCTCTCTCGGTCGTACTCGGTTGCAAAAGTGTGAACGAGCCTTTAAAACCTCTAAAATCTTTTGCGACGAGAGAACACACTGATACACTGGCGCCATCTATGCGCTGACCCTGAAGCTGCATTCCATTAGAGCGAAGGTTTGGCGGCATCTGCAAGGTCAAATGTTCAGGGAGTTTGAGTGACTAAGACAACAGGGAGTTTGAGCGACTATGACAACAGGGAGTTTGAGTGACTATGAAAAATGTTCGTTTATACCATTGACACAAGTTTTTCAAGCCAAGAAAGAAAAAAAAATGATGCGCGAAAGAAATATGAAATATACGAGACCACCATGTGTTCCACTGCTACCCGATAGGTGGTGTCAGTGTATCCTCTCGTCGTAAGAGATTTTAAGCGTTTTCAATGCACTCGGTCCTAAGAAGTCGCAAGTGTGTGAACGGGCCTTAAGAGACCTAAAAACCTGTATCGTCTCAGTCGGTCGGATTCAAATGCAAGTGTGTCAACGGGCCTTAACGCCTTGAACGAGTGTAAAGTGACGAAGCTCTGAACTTCATGACAGCTCACCTCTTTGATGGGACAACCGCAGGGGAGACCCAGGACTTCGTAGAACAGTGGACAGTCGCCGGCCGTGCAGATGTTCTCGTAGTCACACGAGCCGAAGTCGTTCACGCAAGGAACGGTCACCCAGAGGTAGACCTTTTTCTTCATGTTGATCTCTACCTGCGCAGACACCGCGGTGATAACAGGGAGTTCGAGGGACCACACTATAGTCACTGAGGGCATGGTGAGTCCCTACCGCACCTAGCTCAACCCCTGAGAGTGCCTCATTCGCCATGACAAGGCCAAGGAACGAATTACAAAGCGAGAAGCGGGAACATGATAATCCATACGCGGTCTTTCTTTAATAAAGATGAAAGAATAAATAGCAAAAAAAAAAAAAAAACATTTACAAACTTGATGATTTTTTTAAAAATCACAATTTTGGAATATTTTCAGTTCAGAGTATCTCCCCACAAAATATCATTCCCAATTCAATCTCAATCTCAATTTGCAAGGTTTTGTTTTTCGCCGATAAAATCGACTATGCATCGCCGAACGTCGATTCTCCGCCAAAACGTCGCGCTAGAGGTTCGAACCAGATGCCAGTTTCGGCCCCAAAACCGTTATTTTATTCAAAAGTCACGAATGATTTACTGAAAAGTTTCAACGGGAAAATGGCGGCCGACCGAAGTCTCGAATACGCGGAGCTCTATGGGTACCAGCTGCCGAAAACGGACGAAAATGGGCCCCATTTTTTCATGAATATAGTTTTAGAAACTCACTTATAATGTTTGAATAAGATAACGGTTAGAGCTGCAACTTTGCCGTCTGGCTTGGGCCTCTAGCGCTATATTTGGGCGGAGAGGGAGCGTTCGGCGATGCCTTGTATATTTTTGCGATGAAAAAAAAAAGCATTGTAATCTTTTTTTTTTTTTTTTTGGGGGGGGGGGGGACACAGTTTATAGGAGAAGCTTTGAGAGCGATTTTGTTTTGTCTTGGCCTTTTTTTTTATCAAGTACCGTTGCCTTACGAGTATCATGATGATGCTTTCTTGAATGGGTTTCGCGAACTTGGTAGAGCCTTAAGGTGCAGTTGAGTTTTGTGCAAAAACTGAACTGCACCTGAAAGCTCTGCTCTTTGCACTAAACTCAAGAAATAAAAAGTAATTAGCTTGAACTGAAGGTAATTATCGTCTCATTTCTTGCCTTTTCAAGACTTATTTATTTATGATTAATACCACAGATCTATAAACATCCTGTTTGCGTTAGGATGTGTGGTGAACATTAAGAAATCAATATATGTAGCTAGAAGGAAATATTTCAGTGACAAATTACCCGAATGACACGTATAGTAGCGGTCTCGATAAGGAGGTAGCGCCATCTATCAAAACGTGCGCCACTCTACTCTGTCGTCTGCGTCGCCGTCCGCCGTTGAACCTAACAAATCTTTTGACTCTATTTTTCACCGAGAGGGAGCTACGCTTTGTAACTTTACAAGATAAAACCCACCTGTAAAGTATGTCTTTGACAAAAAGTTCAGATTGCTACGTGCAGGCGCCGATTTGTACGGCCCATTTTAGATCGAGCCATGTTATTTCAGTCACCCTATATATTGTGCGACCTTTCTTATTTGATATTTAAAAAATAAATCGTGTAGCAGATTTAAAATTAGCATTAAGAGACACATCTGCAAACTCTACCTGAGCAATATATGTTAAGTTATAAACGAGATTTAACAACCATCGTACCTAGTCAAACAATGAGTGACCGTCATAGAGTTAATATAATAATCTAGAGGGAGAAGTCTCACGGATTTGCATGCCTCTCGGCCGCTTCGGAACGGCGCGGCATAGACGCTGACATGCGTGCTCCAAGTGGGCGGTCCCGATGGGCCCACATCGCTGGCAACGCGTTAATTAGTGCTCGTAAAGGAGCAGCAAAATCGTGGCCTGCAAGGGCTTTATCAAGCTTTTTATAACTTGCATTGCAATGAATCGCCGGCACCGCACATTGCATAACAATAAATAAAGTCGACAATCATCGAGTGAGTAACTTCAACTTGTCGAGGCAAAACAAACACGCCTATTTCTGCGTTTTTTTTTTTGTTTTTTTTTTTTTTTGAGGGGGGATTAGCGATGTCAGCGCTCAGGATTTGCCGCGTTCAGCTACCGTCTTTGCCCCCCTGTTAACTATAAAACACTGGAGGTTCAGCCCCCCCCTCCTCCTCTATATTTAGCCCCCTTTCCAATACCTACTACAGGCCCAGGCCTTAAAATAACCGACACAATCTCTATGCCCTATTTCTTCACGCGGTTCCAAATAGACGTCTTTGACTGAGAGTGACAGTTACATCGACTTTCTCGTGCTCCTTTGATCACAACGGATGGGGTCTTCTTTCGGTGGTGCTTTTTGGCGAATGAAAGATAGGTAAGAGATACTTCCTTTGAACTTTGTATACCCCGAGCTACCCGATACAATTCCAACTGAGCCTACCACAGGATCTTAAAGCTGATTTCTATACCTAGATATATCATGTCGGAAAGAAAGGCTTAACCAAAAAACCTGTGATATCAATTTAATACATAAACAATCTTTTTTTTTTTTTTTGCGCGCGTAGAATTGAAATAGCACTAAGTGAGCATACATAGGAAACATTTAATAACCTAGGTCCAGGACATGCATAAGCTTAATAATCATTGTATTGACAATGATGGACCCTAATCTCTCGCATACAGGTTATTTTATAGTTGTACAATTTATTCTTAGATCAGAATTATGGCTACCTGCATACATTCTGTTACACAAAAAGCTAAAGTGCAGTCATATGGCTAGAAGGCGAAAGCTTGAAGATACACGATGAGATTTGTGAACTAGAAGAGGAAAGTCATTACGGACTCTAAGCGCTTCATTAATATATGCAGTGATAACACCCAAGGGTGGGGGGAGGGGGGTGGATAGACACTGGGCTCGCTGACGTTGCGATTTCGACGCCGTTTGCTCGCTCCAGTCGCCTTCGAGTATATTTATGATACGTGATAATGTAATTTTGTAAGTGTGTAGACACATTTACGCCATTGCAATGAGCGAAGCGTCATTGCTTCATTTTCGAATTCCCAAGATGTCTCCGAGAAATCTCTGCATTTTGTAGCGGCAATGCAAGAGCCGCGGTCCACGTTAAAGTCCATAGATAAGAGCTTGCTACAAGTAGCGACATTTTTTGGAGCGCGGACTGCCTGACGGTGCAGGTTTTAGGAAGCGAATGGCGGCGCACAGCAGCCCTTACAAAAAATTTATATCTGGCCAGATCTGAAGATTTCAGATATGGCCATATCAAGAATTGGCCACATATAACCTGATATGGTATATCTGCCAGATATAGCCTCATAACGCCAGATACCCCTGGCCAGGTATGGAAATTCCAGATCTGGCCAGACTTTTCAAAAGTACACAAGCCTGAAATCAGCACTTTATATCTTTTTATTGTCTACGATTCTTCCAAGTGCCCGGCCCGCACTCAAGGAGTTATGAAAACGGTGATCTTTCAGCTCCATAGTGATCACTACTTTGGACCAATTCTATGGTTACAGAGTTTCGAGTGTAATTCGTAGTCACCCTGAACAAGCCTCCCATAGCGCTCAAGTACCTGTCATATCACTTTTAAATTTTCTCGTGAATGGCAGCGTTTAGGATACTGTGCATTCTGTCCAAACTTCAACCAGGCTGAGCCGCCGAAGTCTCTTACCATATTATCATTCTCGTGATTGTTGTTTTAGCAGGAATTACTTAAAAGCCGACAAATCACAACAACCAAAACCGGGATTTAGCTCGGATTCAGTGGAGCTGTTTATGACATTCTTAGCGTTTCTAACTTAATATCAGCATCTTTGAAGTTGCACGAGAATGATAATAGTGTAAGAGATATGTCTGCGGCTCACCCAGGTTGAAGGTTGGACGGAATGCACAGTACTGACATTGGTGGGACATTTTAAAAGTGGTATGGCAGGTACTTGGGTTCTGTACGGCACGTGTTCAGGGTGACTCCGAATTACGCTAAAATCTGTGCAACCATAGAATAGATCGAAATTCACGATCACTAGGCAGCCGAAGAAACACCGTTCCCATGATTCCTTGAGTACGGGCCGAGGCGCTTACGGGATCTAGCAAATTGTCTATTCGGGCGTAATGTTAACACTTTGAAATATTTAAGCTGCATTGAAATCCTCGTGAAAACTAGCACAAATAATCTCAAACCTAAGCTTGTCAAAGCTGAAGTTTGGAATGATTTGTGCTAATATTTAGCTTGCGAACAATAAGTCATTCAGAGTTTTCTAACAAAGAATTTTTTTAACTTATTTTAACTTCTTAATATATTGAAAACCGGCCTCCAGATAAGTCTGTATATACGCCAGATAAGTCTGTATATACGCCACATCAGGCTGTATCTATGCCAGATAAGTCTGTATATACGCCAGATAAGTCTCTATATACGCCATATCAGGCTGTATATGTGCCAGACAAGTCTGTATATACGCCAGATAAGGCTGTATATAGGCCGTATATAATCATATAATGTTTGATATGGTCAGATATGGCCCAGATATAATATTTCCATACGGGAGACGTTTGAACTGAATGCCGCCATTTTGTTCCAGTGGAATATGCTTCGTCATTTGTATTGGTTGTCGCTACTTGTAAAAGAAGTATCAAGGAAAATTTAGTTCACGTCATTGTCACCCATTCAAATAAATTACTGAAGAACTTATTATTGACTTTTTTAAATTTAGAGTATCACGTACGCAATCATTATGAACCTTATTGTAGAAAACTCTGAAGTACAGAAAAAAATTCGGGCCTGTGGGAACCAAATGGGACATAATGATTCCCTTCCATTTGCGGGTGGAGGGTCATACGCTTTAATTATTTTATTATCCTCACGTCGCCTGGATGAGCTTTCTTTTTTACTTTCTTATAGAACGTACATAGATACTCTGGCCTCAGATACAGTTGGTTCCAATGATGGCCTTGTGCTCGCTGTCAGCTCTGTCTACACGGCTAAGAAACGCGTTCTGACCACGCGCAGGGGCTTACTTTTGCGGAATATGAAACTCTTTGCATCCCTACACAGGAAACACCACGTAGAATAATAAATGCCTCTGAGGCCGCCTCTACCTTTACGTGACGTCACGACACTCCGTTGGCGCCAACTCAGAAATTCGGATAGAGCCGGACACCGAGAGCCCTTCGAAACATTTAATAGGTTCCTGGACCAGCTGCAGCGCAGCACTCAGTGTCCCATCTGTGTAAAGTTTCTTGATACGTCTTATCTCTTATCTCTTAGCTCTTATCTAGGCACTTCACACCTGTGTTTGTGCTTGATCTCACTGTGACATCGTCGACACGCTAGGTCGCGGGCTTTGATGATTCTAAAGGGTGTTGGCACAGTTCAGTGACTAGGCAGCTTTTGCCTTCATGTTAGGAGCTGGAAGGTATTGACCGGTGTACGAAATCCTATTCGCCAGTGATAAAAATGGGAAATAATAATCTCAAACGCAGGCTCTTGTGAGGAAGAGAGAGGCTGCGCATAAAACAAGATTTTTGCTTTTTACAACACTGTTGGCATCGGTGTTTTTCTCGGAGCTTTGCGACTATCCATTTCCCACATTCTTGCATACGATATGCGCGCAGGTTTCTAAAAAAAACAACAACAAGAGAGTCTTGCAAAACACGCACCCCCCCCTTTCTTTACTGTGTTATGGCGTCAGCATAAACAAACATGGCGGCACCCATGGAATAGAGCAGACACTGGTCTATACGGAGTCTAGGTTCGTCTGCTCCTTGCGCACCTGGTACGTTTGTTTGCCTGCCCAATGCACCAGGTGCTTTTCGCTTCCCCTCGATCTGAAGCAATGACTCCTCGCGCTGGGGTGCCTCGTCGTTATGTTTTCACTGCACGTTTTCCATATTACCCTTTTATTGTCGTGCCCCTCTTTGTGTTTATATGTGCCGAAGACGTATTTTGGAACACGTGCTCGCCGTATAGACGGTTAAGAATTTTTTCGGTGATTCTGTCTTTTTGAAGTGCGTCACCCCCTCAGACAAAAGTTTGGCTCGACCGGTGACGCTATCTCATGCGGGATTTTCACAACTCTATTACGGCCCACGGCCGCAGGCCGCGGGCCGTATGCGAGTTGTTAAAATTCATGGTGAGCCGTATCGGACGCTCGAACGTCCGAGTGCACTGCCGAACTCTGACACAGAGCTTGCGTCTTGTCGTTCGGTGGTTAGACCTTCCCAAAACTGCCCATTTGGGCCACCAGCCGCGCTGACTAGCAGCCGACCGAGGTGCCTTCTGTTCACTGCCCTGGGACCATGCAGTTGATGCTTAGTGCCGACTTATAAAAAAGTTCGTCACGTACCTTGATTGGCTCCTCGATGTTCCTGAAGACTTTGATGGCGGAGTTGACGAACACCGAGCCGGGAAACATGAGGGGATCCGGCCGCAGTCGCAGCTCGTCGTAGCGCACAGCGTCGAAGCGGGAGCCGCAGTTTCGCACGGCGTACTTGCGCACGGAGTCGCCCCATTTCTGGAAGGCCAGAAGCCACTGACCAAAGGTCAAACACCTATACGACCGCGCACGTTTCGAGCTTCAAAGTATAGGTGCCATCTCGCGGCGGCCGTTTTTTTAACTGAATGCAGCTAAGAACAAGAGTACGAACGATCTAGTGTCATAGGTAATGAAAGCCGGGTCGTTTACTTAACAGACAACGGTAGACCTATTAAGGACAGCGCGACACAGAGAGCAAACGTAAAGACAGAGGCAGGACAGAGCCCTACTAATACCTGACATTTAATGATTTAGAAAGAGAGAGACAAAAATGAAGTAAAGAATACTATGATTACAAATAAAAAATAAGAAAATAAATTTATAATATTAATATTAAAAGCAAAATATATCTCTCCCACAAACAAACAGAAAAACTAAAAACGGAAATAAAATTAGCCAAAAAAAAATGAGGTAATAAAGTTATTTCTGTTATATTTTGCTTTGTTTCCTTTTCATCTGTCTCCCTCTTCGTATGCCTTTCCATGTCGCGCGCTATCCCGTACCTTAATTGTTTAACCAATTAGGCCACCCGATGATCTTGGAACAGTAGAACGCTTTCGAAAGTCACTTGCCTACTGTTAAAAGGTCAGAACCACTGCATAATGGCGGAACATCTGACACCACGGAACATGCGCAAGTCTAAAACTATTAACTACACTTCGTTTCACCTTAGCACCGAGTGCAGCCGACGTTACGAGCCGAGGAGCTAATGAAGCCACGTCAAAAGTGCCACGCCATGCCGTTCGCCGAGTTTCTGTGAGTGGCTATTTGCCGGCTCATCCAATCAAGCGCAAAAAGTGCGCCGTGACATTGCGCTTTTGTCGCTGCGTGATTGGCTCCATCGGTACGTAGCATTGGTAGCGCTGTGTCAGTGTTGTACGCCATTGTGCAGTGGTTCCTCAGCTTCCTGAGCAAGGGGCATGCGTTCAGAAGGGACATAATAGGAAAAGAAACACGAGCAACAATAGGTAAAAACCTGTGTTCGTCGAATGTGTCTCTCCACGTGTTCATTTTTGTCAGATAGGACCACTTAAAAATTTACAATGCCTTTGCAAAGCAGCTATACCGTAACCGAATAGATAGCGTCCCCAAGAGCTTCTCAAGGTGAGCCGACGGTTTTCTAACGTGGCTTCTAAAGGAAGAATCCGCCTCTTTTATTCATGGGTTAGTGTGTTCGGTTCTGCAGTAATGTCAAGCATTCTGTAAGGTACGGTACGGATACCAGTTATCAACTCATCTAAAGGAGTGCAGAGAAGTGTCCATTCTGTGAGAGTAGATTTGGGTAATAGAGCAGGGCAACCATTGTGCGGCGCCGCACTGCCATATAGGCCCATCGAGCCCGTGTGGTAGGTAGTCTTTGGGTTATGGACGCTACAATACCTCTCGGCTTAATCATTACAAATGATTGTTCTAGCCGGAAGAAGTTAGTCCCTGGAAATCTTCCAACAATCGTCTTTGTTATGGTTGGCTAGTCTCGAAAGTTTAGTTTTATTGGCTGGCTCACGCCCTCGTAAACCCATTTATTAGCTCGGGCTGCAGGTAGGTTCGAAACCGCGCTTCCGAGATTACTGGCATGTTAAAACTGGAAGTGGATACAGTCTTCGACTGCAGTGACGGCAGCGCTTGAGGGGCTAGTTCATTTGATCTTTACGTAAGACGGCAACGTGTTCGTATCGGTTTTGTGCATGCACTTAAGCAACAAGAAAATTCACTTCTTGGCAAGACCCCAAAAAAAGCGAGCAGGTATTTTATTGATCGCGTTTGTGCCCAACGAACAGAGTGCATAAGATCGGTACAGCGTAAGGTTCGCGGTCTTTCGCAAATCGCTACGCCAAACCGGCAATTGGTGCTTGTGACTCGAGGATGAAAGGGGTCAAAAGGTAACAATAAGGAAACAAGACTCAAGGTCTTTGGATCGACCGGGACAAGATCTTCCTTGAGACAGGGATATCTGTTGAGGATTTCCTTCATTTTTCTTTTTGTGAACTTTCGGCTAATGCCAAATTTGGCGACTTGACTCTTGCACGCCGTTGTTGCTTGTTAAAAATAAAACTCTCTACGTCCTTAGTGTTTCTTTAGGAGGTGAGTAATCTATCATTTTGGGATTAAGTACTAGGACAGATTGAAAAGTAATGAGACCGATTTTTTATTACTATTTCAGTGATTTTATACAGAGTGCTGTCATTTAATTTTCTCAACCTAGCATCTTTAAAATTCCATGTACTGGTTATATTTTTGCAACACCACTTTCAGTGTTTGCCACCGTGACTCTATTCAATTCATTGTGGGAAAAGAAACTTCTTTTCTTGCAGGTACTTTTCTTTCAGTGTTGAAAATGCCTAAATTTGAACATCGATAAGTTATGTCTATATCAAGTGTTACAGTGCGGTTAAATCCCAATAAAACCTAACGAAAAATTCAATCAAGCACCTCTGCCATACTTTCACAAGCACGTCTTCGTCATCCACCGTGACCACAGATATGAGGTGCCTTCGCTCGCTGCGACGTAACGCTATAAACAATGACGGTCCCATTGCAGATGCAAACATGTGCATGTATTCCCTTCACAAACATCACCACAGAACTAAAAAAAACTAGTCCCTGCAAAAGAACAAAAACAGAAACAGTATTATGATTTCTCAATCGACCCTCGTACAAGAACTGAGTTTGCTCTTCGCCTCTGTTCGCTACACTACTGGAAATTAGGTCTGGTGGTTGTTAATTTATTTCCCAAATCCTTTGCCCAGAAATCTACTAATCGCTAAAACAAAAGAAACCACGTTGAACCTTGGACTCCCCCAGAGCAGAACTGCAGCTGGTACGAACCGACAGATCTCAAGTGCGTAGACTACTTCCTTGGTCTGCGAGCGCTTGTTGGGGTACTGAAAATCTTTGTAACGGAGGGAGCTTTGAATGTCACTTGACGGGAGGGCTTCCGTCCGGCAAAATATAGGGACTGAACGTACGTTTTATCGTCACACTTTCGCGAATTAAGGGAGGTGGGGGAGGGGTAGATTCCAAAGATGTATTCGATGCAGTGTTGTAGGTGTTACAAAAAAAAAGTAACGAAATGCGTTACTCGTTATTTGCAAAACAAAGTAAAGCGTTACCGCCCTACGTTTCTTCAAAATAAAACCAACGTTACCAATATAAAATAACGCAGGTTACATTTGCGTTTCTTTTTTAATGATAAATGAACACGTCTTAGTGTTTTGACGTTGCAGGTACATATAAGCGACATATTTCAAGAAGCGTTATGTCCATGGAGAAACTAAACATAATTACTTTATATTTTTTTACGGTTTCACCTAAATACTCACAAGAAAACAAAGCGGAGAAAAACGCAAACTCAAAAACTCATATGGCTTTGCTCCTAGAAGCACGAAAAAATATTGAAAGGTACCTTTTTTAAGTCCCGGGAAGAAGAAAAAGTAAGGAGTAACGGAAACCCGATACCCGTTACTCGAAGTAAGGAAGGTAATTACTTTACCAGTTACTGGTTTGAAAAAGTAATGAGTACGTTACACGTTGCAAAAAGAGACGTAACATGTTAACGGTAACGCTAAGATATGTTATAAATAAGTCATTAATAAGTGTACGCTGATACCGCTCAAGTTGTGTTTCTTGTTAGTATCTAGTGTATTTATCTTAACTAAGCACTCGTTTGCTCAATTTAAAAGTGGTGGCGGCGAACATAATACAGTAATATAAACAGTAAACAGTAAATCAGTAAGCTGGATTCATGTTGGCGCCAGTCTGATGTTTGCATCCTCGAATGACAGCTAGTAGTAGCTGAGACGTTTCAGTACACCAAAAATGTACGGTTTCATCTTGAACCTCTTTCAGTTTTATAAACGTTTGTTGACGTTGATGTTGATGTATATTATACAATCATTTTGTATTCAATGCGGTGGTTATCATTACGCACTTCGCGACTGCGCTATGTACACAATTCAGTAATTAGTCTTATTAGAAAACTGCACGTGGGAGCCAATGTACACGTACACCCGCCGGCAATATGAAGGTGAACACCTTACCTGGTTTCTTGCCTGTTTTACAGCTCCCTAAAGCTATAGTAACTCTCAACGTCTCAAATGGTACGTGGCCTAGGGTCTAAACTTTGCGTTCTAGCCCTCTTCTGGAACAGAGCTTGTCCCAAAACTTCCAGGAGCGCCAAAACAAACAAGAGGGCTGTTCACCTTCATATCGCTCACGGGTGCACTTTAAATTCGGATAACAAAAAAAAAAGATACGTATTGAGTTTGGCGTACCGTTATATGCACGGTTTGTAAATTGTCAGAGATACTCACTGCTTGCGGTGCCTCTGGAAGGTACCTCTCGGGCACCTGTGGCGTGGACAGGAGCAGCAGGTAGCGCTCCCAGGTGATGTCCCGGATCTTCTGAATGTCCAGGGTCTGGTTCAAAGCCTTCATGGCCGGCCCAAACGGACTGCCCGCTTCGGCAGTGGCGAAGAGCAGCAGCACAAAGACAGACAGAGGAAATGACCACCTGTAAAAGTAGCCCCATTGTGGCGCCGATCGCATATTCCCATACAGCACAGTTATTTGGGTCCGAAATGTGGTTGTTGTCTGGGAATATAGGGCCTTAAAAAATCCGAAAAAGACAAAGGTAGAGCCGAATGTGACATTCTTTGGCCAAAGTCTGGAATCTTGGCCCTGATTCTCCAAACAGTGCCAAAGTCAGGCTTCATTGCTAGTATTGTTTGGCTGTCGCCTGACATCTTTTCGGTTCAAAATCGTCAAACAAGTGCAAAGTTAGGCTTTACTTCTGGTTGTTTGGTTTTTTTATTATGAAAACTTTGGGCCTAAATTGCGAAGGAAGTGTCGAATTTCGGCTTTATTGCTGGTCCTTTGGTTCATGTGTGGGATCTTTGGCCCATGTCTGACACTTTCAAAACTATGCGGTGAGCCATTAAAACGGCAAAGAAAAGTCAAAGAAAAGTACTGGTGGCATTATAAACTAACGCATTGGAGCGGAACCGCATGGGGCCCAAGTTAGGCAGCTAGGATTGCCAAACTTGCGCCGATCTAGGCGTTTCACTGGCGTGCTACGTGGTATGGCACCGACCCCATAATGACGGCGCGTCCGTACGCCAGATCCCAGCTGGGTAGCACAGTTCTGTTTGCCAAAATGTTCTTTCTCTCTGGCAATCTAGGGCCCTACAAGCCCAAAAGCAAGTCAACGTACAACCTAACTTGATATTCTTTTGGTTGAAGTCTGTCTGATTTTGTAACTGCTGCAGCGTTAGGCTTAACTGCTTTGCTGTTGAATTGCCATCTATAGCTGGCTTTTTTTTTTGGGGGGGGGGGGGGATGGGGGGTTGGATGATGATTTTGTTTTTAAATAATTGCCAGAATTAGGTTTTAATTCTGGCTGTTCGATGTATACCTAGCAACTTTGGGTTTAAATGGCCAAGCAGCTGCCGAAAATAGTCTTCCCTGCATGGTTGCTAGGCCGCAGCGTGGCATTTTTTGACTCATGTTAGACACTTTGGTAATGAAGAATGTGGCGAACCAGAGAAAAGCAATCTAAAAGCCAAAGAAAAGTACTTCGGCACGAACTAGCCTCTTAAAACGAAATATTTATTAGGCCCAAGTTAGGCACATAGGGTTGCCAAACCTTGACCAAGCCTCAGGCTTCTCCCTGGTGTACACTGCCTGGGTTATCACTTCCAGAGCAAACTTCAGAGTGTAAGAATATACATAACAGCCGGAAAGCTTTGCTTCGCGAGTTGAGTATACAAAAAAAAAAAAAAGAAGAAACAGGTGCAAAAACAAAGAACCTGAGTGGTCTGATTGTAAAAAAAGAAGAAAAGAAATGAAGGGAGCAATGGCGCGTGCCGGCTTGCAGAATCACATTTGTAAAGATATGGTATAACCATATTCGTAATTTCCCCTTCCGTTTCGAGAATGCCGCATATACCTGTTGGGAATCAAATAGGGATTTCTTAACATTTTCTCCCACACAAATATTTGTTCAGGTAAACGTCGTATTTTCCTCACCGATGTGTAAATACGTTTTGAGAAATGGCAGGATTCAGCACCAATAGTACAGACCCTAAAATATCAAGTTCACTAGATTGGCCAACTTAGAGCATATCTTAATCTTAAACCCTCTTAGTTTCGTCCACAATCAGTTCCTCATTATGAACTTCATTTTAAATATATAATTCCAAATAATTAACAAAGTTATCTGACATGGTTCTGGCAAACGGACACTATCTGAGTCAGCTTGCGTTAATGTCTGTTTGTTACGAAATGGGTTTTCATACTTCGCATCAGCTATCAGCAAGCATAATTACAGTCATGACTCGTTAATCTTGATATTTCCATCCCCCTCTCCCCCGCCCCCTCAAAAAAAGAACAACAACAAAAAAAAACATCGTCCATTATGTGAGTTTTCTAATAACCAAACAAAAATGCATGTATATTTGACCAGTTCTTTTCCCGTTAATATAGAGGATCCATATTAACGGGTCCATATTAACGAGATATATCACTGTAGAGAGCCCGTGTGATAAAATATATTATTACACGCAGACGAAGGTATGTTTACGCGTAGAGATTCAGTGGAATGCAGGGCGGGGGGGGGGGGGGGGGGGGCTACGTAGAAAAAGGCTTGGACACAAAATAGACCACTTGTCGTCACACCGAAAACGACGCTTCATTGGCTTCGAGGCAGTATTAAAATGCAGATACCCAGTTCGTGGATAGAAACAACCTCAAACCGAAGAAAGCCAACTGCGGGGATGGCTTCGCATCGCTGAGCTTTTGATTGTCCGTCTCGGATCAGCCAGGTGAGGGTGCGTCATACGACTCTTTGTACAAATGTTTTTGTAATCATCCACACTCCAAGAACAAGTCTGGACATCCTAGCTCAAATACGATCTGTTTGAGCGCCTGTTTGTCAACTTGGGGCACAAGCAAGGCTTAATTATCAACCATCCACACACTCCAGCAGCAATATGTCGGCGCCCAGCTGCCGTACTTCCAAACATCTATTGTTTGGAATGCAAACTCTCAAAACTTCGCCATCCCGTAAGAACGCAATTGCGCAAAAAGGCACGTCTTTATCCATAGCCATGTCATCTCACCCAAGACTGCTGCCTGAAGTGATGCTGTCCACACCCTTATGCATCCCTGGGGGCGATGCACCCATCACAGCCGCCTTGACCGAAGCCGGGAGCGCGACCTTGAGGGGCCAGGCGGGCCGCTTCTTGGCGGTTGGGCACAGCGACGGCGACCCTGCAAGGCCGGTCCTGTCCCCTCCGTCGCCGGCGAGCGTGTTGTATGGCACGGGGTGGTTTGGTGGCTTTGGCCGCTTCTTCCGCCTGGGAAAGGGACGTCGCACCCCGGCGAGTGTCCCAGTATTTGCCTAAGGAAGCGGCCAGATCCGCCGACGCCGAGGTGCTTCGCAGATCCCGATGGCGCGTCCGACTATGGATGTTCGTCGATCGAATTCGTTGACGCGACGGCAAGCTGCGTATAGGGCTTGAAAACACGCAGCCTCGTCTTATAACCAGTTGTGGGACGCTCTACTTTTCTTTTCTTGTTCTTGGAGGGTGCCGGTTTAGTCAACGAAACGAACGTGATACCACCGATTGTCCAGCTTAGCTTCCACAACCGACTACTGTCGAGAGCTCAAATCGATTGAACCCATACACATACAGTGGCAAGTGTATAGTCACATTTTAAACCATACTCACTTTACTCACATTCACACAAATCACATTGAATGTGCATCAATAACAAGACGTACCAGACCTCACCTTACATCTCTTAAGTTGTCAAGGGTCCTAATGCCTCTGAGGCACACAGCACAGAAAAACCAACTCTGATCAAAAACAAAGGCTTCAGACGGGTCCGCGTGTCCGCGAGCTATGGCGGCACGACTTGCGCACGCATGGGAAATTTGCTGCAGTTCCGGCCAGCTTGCCCATGCGAGACGCCACCCCGTGGCCCAGAAGCCGTGTTTCCTGTCCTCTCTTCGCACATGTCTGCACAACGCAGGTTTCTATTCTTTGCACCTCGAAAGCGGCGAAGCGCGAGGCCAACTCTATTCACTGCTGCCTCTCAAGGTGCCAATAGTCGACGTCTCGGTCCAGGTGGTTCCTGCTGAATCCTAAGAATCCCTTCAATGGCACACATTGTTCGCCGTAACTGGTCTGCTGGCTTAAATGCTGCGTATTTAATTGTACATAATATAAATATATAAAAAAAGAAAACATGCAGGCGAGACGGGGAACTTTCCACATCTTGAAAACTCTGGACCGCGAGGAACAAAACGGGTTTGATTGGCACACAGGTTTCAGAACCAGCTGCAACTTTGTTTCTGCTTTCTTGTTTATAACGAAGACCCTTCAGACGGCCTGAATTCTATCGTCATTAAAACAACAATTTAAAATGTCCACACTCAAGAGCAAGCAGCCTTTTCCCGCTCACAACCTTGAAAGACACAGAGACAGCCGACCAACTCACTCTAATCCCCATACCATAGTCACCCCCGTCCCTCCAGCCCACGGGGCTAGACTAGCGACATTATGTAGTGGACATAATCTCCGTATAGAAGAAATCGAATCATTTTTTTATCATTTTTGGCGCTCTCCTTCCGTCACAATGTACTAGCGTCCTAAATTTGTGCGACTGTTTCTGCCTTCCGGCGTTATGCTGTTCTTGTGCACAATCCGCAATCTTTTGTCATCCCTATCTTTATTCTTGGGGTTGAATATTCATTTCAAGGCCAAGTACGACTGGCTTATTCATTTGCTTTCGTTATATCTGCGCAACGCAACCTGAGACCCACGGGCCGCTAGCGGCTGCCAAAAAGACCCAAAGCGAGTCGCTGAGTCTTCACTTTTTGTTCGTTCGCCGGACGCTCCCGATATCCTTGCGTGCCGTTTTAGGGGGCGTTTAAACTACAAAACAGGGCCCGTCACTAGTTCTCAATGCTCGGTATAAGTTGAGTAGACCTAGCACTTGGGACGAAGGTTGTTGAATAGTAAATATATATACGAGGGAGGTCGCGGACCGACGATCGCTCCACGCGTCCTTCGATTTTCTCTGTCAATTAAGCAGCACCATAATGGAGGTCCAGTACTACATGAGGACATTTACACGCACCATCGGCGGCACGGCGTAATTGCTATTCTCACTGATCATAACTGTCAATTCAACCAGCTCGTTTGAGTGAGTACCTCCTTAACTAGACAGAGCGAATAATGTCCACATTGGTAGTAAGCCTTTTACCGGTGCTGTCAACCTACTGTGTACCCGCGCTGCAGGCGCTCCCTTTATCTTTATAACATAATTGAAGTAAATAACCAAACTCGAGATTGGTTCACACGGTGGGATTTTACTTGCGATTTCGCAGTTGCGTGGGGGAAGCCGAGGGGCTGTGAAATGGCTGTGAAATCGCTAGGAAAAGTTGCACCATATGAATTGGGCTTCAGAGTTTTGATGACCGAGTGTACGAAGAGACATTTGTTTCGGGCTTTCTCTTTGGGACGGTTACTACTGCAGGTGCCAACACGCGCAGCGCATGTAATCTACACTCGCGCACGCTTCCTGTTTGGGTAATTTAGATAAAGGCCCATAGTCGTCATGTCACTCCAGCAAAATAAACCTACCCTTCCACAGTGTACGTTGACAACGAGGGTTTTAACAGTAATGTTACTTTTCTCAACAATGGAGGGTTATTTAGAAGGCACGCAAAAAATCATAAAACTTTCAACTGCGGCCCTCAAGAGGCCGGTGTTTGTCGACCTCTGGTTTGTATTTCCCCAATGTACATCAACTGTGTGCCTCATTCAGAGGTAATATGCTCAGAGCGTCAACGTAAAACACTTCAACGTAATGTCACGTCGGCTGGCTGGCTAGCTACGCTTTGACCCGGAGCGGCAATTATGACGATTAGAAACATACGTTCCACCGTGGCCTCAGGCGTTTCCTTCCGGTTTCTCGCGCGGCCTTTAAGCCACATCTAACCTGTACCGCGCTCGGCGCACAACCTTCCCGAGGCAATTATGCGCCCTTGGGGGTGTTCCGCCCCTCAGGGGCCGCTTGCCAAGCCCGAAACGTCACGTCGGCCCAGACGTGACGTCGCGGCCGGTGTGACGTCAGCAGGTCCTGGTGAGTGACGTCATCATCCCGCGACGCCGCGATGCCTCGAAGACGTTGGCTCTTGGAGGATCCGGTACAGATGTCGCGAAAGGAGGCCAGGGAAGGGATCTTACTCGTGGCTCCGGTTTTCTTGCGGATAAGGACCGAAAGGGGGAGGAGTGCGATGAACGTGGGCTCCGCTTTTTTCGCGGTCACACATTCGGTGTCAACTCGATCGGTGCTGGCTCACTTTTGTTTATTTACGCTTTCGAGTGACGCACGCAAGTATCTCCGACTCCCGAGTCGGGTAATAAGGCGCAACGGACGGGTCAAGGATGGTTGCAAAGCGGTCTCTGAGTGACTGATCCGGAGACCCAGACAGATGTCACGAGACGGATCATAAAATGAAACTTGGGCTGGTATAAGTTATATTGAATGGGGATTTGACTAATCACATACCGTTCGATGGGTTAAAAGAAAACTAGTACGTAAGGGTAGAGACGCAAAAGCATGCTTTTTGATATGGTATGTTGAAAATATAGCGGACTGCATCTTACCTCCTTTCCTTCAAAAGCTCTTTGCCTTTTCGCTGCGATGGATAACACGCTTCCTGCACCCCAAAATGGCTACCGCCAACGTTGCTTGATGGGGTTTTCAAAGGGGTTTGCCCGAACGAATCGTCGCGCCATAGTAATGATTTTGTTTTGTGTGCGAAAAAGATAGTTAAAAAAAAAAAAGATTGCTTTATAACATTAAAAACGTGGACAACGAAATCACTTGTTACGGAAATAGGTTTCAATCACTCCAGAAGTGTTTCTCGGTATCTTAGAAACACACCTCAACACAGGGTAATAATCACATAGTAGACCGTTCGTACAGCTGTACTACCTTACCATGCACAATCCCGACTGTGATTATACTATTAAGAACGAATAAATACGCAAATACAATTAATGAAAATAAAATAAGTACAATAAATTCAATAAACCCTATAGGTTCATGCATTAAAGCACCGATGATTGTTTGCAGGGAGCCGAACTGAATACCCATCGCAAAATTGGTCCCGTGTCTCTCAGCTTGACAAGTTTGCAGAACCGCAACCGATTTTGTTTCACCTTGGGAGTTGCTAATACCAGGCAGACGACGAAGGACTGCCATGAAAAGACGATTCATGCATTATGTCAGTTGTGCTCACTGCATTGCTGCGATTACATGATTACGACAGTAGCGTAGATCATTCGGACAGGACGACTATGATGAGCGGAAGAGGAAAAGTAAGAGGAAAAAAGGTGCGTGCGATTTATTTTAAAACCCGACACGGTGTCATAGCGTGGCATTCGTAGAAGCGGGGCGTATATTGAAGTGGCTCGGCACGATTCCGTAAATAGGCCAAAAAGCGAGACCCCGCAGGGGGCACCTGTGAAAGCAGGTGTTTGGAGAGTGGCGTCTCCACGGACCCCGAGCCATGCGGGTTCGCCCGCCCACGTCTGACTGTGCGTGACTTTCCCGTGCTTGGGGAAAAGGGCATCCTGGTGGTTGAGCCGAGCCCGGGGTAGGTTTGGACCCTCCGGGGCTCTCTGGGCGAGGCAATACACCACTTCGGCCCCCGCTTCTAATAGACGGGAGTCCTGGTATGGCCCGGCCAGGATGATTCAGTCTAGTCGCCACTCCTTCTACTATCCCCTCCCTTCCTTCACCTTTGCCTTCTCCTTCTTTTCACTCTCCTCATTTCTCTTCTTTCCTTTTCAACTTCTTTGGCCACAAGGGCTACCCTTGGGTGGTGACAGATAGTCTCGTCCAGATCCACACTTGGTCATAGTTTCTGGGTAGCGCTAATAGAGTAATACTCCCAGCAAAGCCATTTTTGTTATAGGGTGTTACCTATTCCCTCGTTGGGCTCCGTGGTGGGCGGCGCGCCACAAATTCCGAAAACCCTTTGCCTTTTTATGACGCCCCTCTTTTCCAAACCCCGAGCAGAGCGACCCCCCAAAAGGGTTCGCCCCGCTCCCACTACTTTCGAAAAAGCTAATGAGCCAGAAAAATACGCTCGATTTTTTCTAATTCACTCTACAAGTGACACTGTGCATTTGTCAAAAGTTTCTTCCTTTGTCATTGCAAAGCATCTAGAACAAGTGGTTGGAAAATGTTATAAGGCAAAGAAGCTTGCTGGAGACCTCCTTGTTGAGGTAGAAGATAAGCCACAGAGCACAGCACTCTTGAAGATGACAAGCCTGGGAGACTACCCGGTTACTGTCACCCCCCACCGTACCCTGAATGCTGTTCGCGGCGTCATCTCAGAAGATGACCTTCTAGAATGCAGTGAAGACGAGATCCTCGAAGGTTTGCGCAAGAGTGCTGTTGTTGCCGTTAGACGGATAACCTTAAAACGTGATGGACAAGAAAAACCAACCCGACATCTCATTCTCACGTTTGAACTCCATGCTCTCCCGCCCACCGTGAAGGCAGGATACTTGAACTGCAGAGTCCGCCATTTCATTCTAAATCCTCAGCGGTGTTTACGTTGCCAACGTTTTGGGCACGGTTCCCAAAACTGCCGCGGCCGAGAAACGTGTGGAAAGTGCGGTGGTACTTACCATGTAGCGGACATCTGTGAAAATGAACCGAAATGTGTAAACTGTAGCGGAACTCACCCAGCTTTCTTTCGCTCTTGCCCAAAATGGAAAGAGAAAAAAGATGCATTGACTTTCAAAGTGAAACATAACCTGAGCTACCAAGCAGCCAAAGAACAGCTTGCCTTTCAGGCAAGGGGTTCTTATGCCCAGGCAGTGTTGAGGGGACCCCCACTGTCTACGGCATCGGTGGAGACACAGACTTCCCTGGAAGACCTGTCCTCTCCACAGGGGTCCCCTTCCGAACTTTTGAAGGTGACGCACACTCAGTCACCTTCATGTTCTAAGGGTGCTGTACCCTCCAAGAAGGGTAGCACCTCTTCCAAGGTACCAGGGGTGCCATCAGCGGCCCTAGCTGGCCCTTCTGGCAGGGGTCGATAACTCCCTCCTCGTGCTTCCTGCAGCAACCAGAAGCCCAGGCGGACAGAACAACCTTCTCCGCCCAAGGGCCCAGCGCTCTCGCCGGATAAAAAAATGGACGAGAGCCTACCGCTCTCTGAAGACGACCAGTCTCTTCCTGAAACAGAGTCTCTTCCTCTGGTCTCCTCTGAGGTTGTAGGACGACCGAAGGACACTGCTAAGAAAAAACAATCCCACGTGTTGAGGCACCAAGAGCCCCCTGAATTTGTGTCTTAGCCTTCTCTGGTATGTCTATATATATATATCGATCTCACTTCCTTTTAGAATACCAATGTCTCTTTTTCTTCAATGGAACTGTAGAGGCCTCCTTCCTAATTATGACGATGCGAGCCAGCTACTAGAAAATC